ACTCCCAGGAGCTGGCAGGCAGCCAACGTTCTCTGTGAACTCAGTCCCACCACATTTGAATTAAATCCAGTGGACTTTGACCCCTGGTGACCCTGTGTATGTGGAAGTAGCTGTGCTCCACAGAGTTAAAGGGCTGGTTCTTTCAAGAAGTGGACTGCTGGTCAGTTGCTTGACTTCTTGATCATAGCTGCCCCATAAGTAGAGTGGAACCACCAAGATTCCCAGCTGCCATCTATTCCCATCTGCCATCTATGTAGCAGGTCCCAGGTTCCAGTGAGCAACTGAGCTGTTAATTGTGGCCCCACCACACTGACATTTCAATCTGAAGCACATCAACATTGATTATTATTGGGAAAGGAATATTTCTGAAACAAATCTACTGGGCCAGTTTTGTTTCCTTCTCAGTTTTTTATGTGGAACACTATGTAGTTAAGGGTTTGTTTAGAATGGCTTTCCTAGTCATTGCTTGACTTTGCTATGTGGATAGGCAGGAATATGCAAACAGGGCATGTTAGCCTATCCACAAGGGAATTAGCTAGTCTCCCCATTAAACTGAGCAGATCCAGGTCACTGAGTCCTTGAACAGCCAGCTACACACACTTATCCAAAATATCACGAGCCAAAAAAAACCTTTAAGGCTAAAAGCAAAGCCAAGCCAGTCACTATAATCCTTAAGAAGATAAACAATGTAAATGATGATAAAGTCAACAGAGAAAATAAAGCTTTTATAGATGTACAAAAGGAACTTGCACACTTCTCAACAAACTTTTACCTTGAACACAATTAGTTTCCCAACAGCAGCATAAAAAAGGATCAGTGAATGTTGATGAGGCCACACAATTAATACCTCTGTTATAACTGTGATGATGCTGCATCAGGCCTTCACACCTCATCCCCCTCCCAAAAAAACCCCCAATAAAATTAATGCTGTATAAAAAAATATTAGCAAATTCTGCAGGAGAACTAAATGAATCCTCACTACCAGCAAAGAAGAGCAAGTAAGAGAATGTACCTTATTCTTAAATATTGCAGGAAGATGAGACTCAAGGGGACACGTTGGGCCTAAATTTTATGATGCTGGCAGAGCTACAGCAAGACTCAAGTCCAGAACGTCTGTGGTCTCTGAACTGCTTTGCTCTGTGCCTTTTTCAGGTGTTTGGACAAAGGCACCATTTTTTAGGCTATCCTGTGGTGGGTTCCAACTAACAGCGGAAAAACTGATAAAGTGTCAGTTTTCTCACAGCCCTAAGAGGGGTGAGGGTCATGTTACAGTCCTTGAGGTGTGACAGGCCTCGTGCATTCAGGCACATCCTTTACTTTCCACATATGAGGACTGTTTTCTTCTCAGTCTGATAAGAAGCTGAAGACCTTGCAAAACTGCAGCTGATCTCAGCTTTGTAGATATATAGGTGTTACCCAAAGGACTGGGAGCTTCTTCTCCCTCTCCCCTGGGAATTTTCCCAGGGAAAGGGGCTCTCTCCTCATCAAGACCAGAGCAACAGTCATAACAGGCACAGCAGACAATCAGAGACCTGACATGAGATGGAACTGACCTTGGCACTGTTGCATTATTGAATCATAGCGAAGAGCCTTTTGCCCAAATTGACTGGACAACTGGAGTGAGGGGAAGACTGAGAACTTGGTAACGCTGGCCTAAAGCCATGAAGCTCAAGGCTGAGGCACCTGCGAGTACATTTTGGAAATTGTCCTGACTTTATTCTGCTACTAAACTGCATTATAACCTTTTAACTTCCCAACATGGTTCTGTGTGGCATGTAAGCCATTGCATTGGATTTTAGATCAATAAAAGCAGTAAGATTGGAGTTGAGCAGAAAGAGGTATGGGAGTGTGAGGAACATGTCTGACCTCACAGGAATTAGTTTTGTATTGTTGATGCTGTTGACAGGGACAGTTCCCCTTGATGAAATTGGTAAAGGTCTGATATAGGTGTCCCCATGTGGCCTTTCCTCTTTTTACAAATACTTTAAGAATTTCTATGTTTGTTCTTGTTTTCCATGTATAGACATGTTCATCATGATCAATTCCTTCCTTCATAGGCTAAGCTTTTCATGCTGTGAAGCCAGAGAAAGTGGGAGAATTGGATAGAGGGCATTGTGACACCAATTTTCTTGTAGACCTAGGACTCTGCCTTTTCCACCCTTTCCATGTGTTCACTATGCTGCCAAGCAATGTGGACGCTGTGTAAATATCATTAATTAAACAGGAATTGTTATCCAACATATAACATTTTAATTATCATTTCCTTTGTGGCTGTGATTTCTGGCCAGTCCATTTCCCCTTAATGTTATACTAGCTGTGCACTTTGAAGAAGTCCCTTATCCTTGCTAGGCCTGCTTTTGAGGAGGCATGCTCTATCTGTCCTGTCTAAAGTCTCCACTTTCATGGAATTCGTTTTCAAGCATCACTGTGAGGTGAACAGGTAAGATCATTTTTAGGTGATGCTTAAATGCTGTTGACTACAATAAAGCAGGATGGTATGACAGAGCCTGACACAGGGCACATTTCAGATAAGGTCGTTAGATGAGGCTTGCTCAGGTGCTAACATTCAAACTAAGGCTTGAATGATGAGAAGGAACCAGCTATGTGAAGAGATTAAGCAAGTGTATTGCAGGCAAAGTATGAGATGCTGAAAATATTAGCTCAATATGCCATAGAAACAAGAATGACTAGTGTGGCTGAAATATGGAGAACAAGAGAGGGAGAGAAAATGGAATTATACACAAATTTATTCCTAGTGGTGAATTCATCAAGATGGATATGATTCTAATTAAAATATACATGAGGTTAGAAGTCTACTTATAAGCAGGTCTTGTTTGAGAAGAGGCTGAGCACCAGGGAAGCCTCTGCTACTGGTAGCCCTGTCAGCATATCTACAGAGTCCAGAAAACCACCCTGGCAGGCGCTAGAGATCATAGTGACTTCAGAAGTGTTCATCTCTTGAAGATGGATTTGTTTGGAGACATCTAAGGCTCTATGCTGTCCAGTATGAGAGCCTTGAGCCATTGTAGAAACGTGGTGTTTTTAATCCTAGAGACACTCACTAATTGAAACATGAAGTGTTCACAGGTATTTTGTGTGCAATGGCAAGAAAACTGCAAACAACTAGAGGGTTCATTTGTAGTGTATGTGAGTAAGTGATGGCATATATAATCGTGGGATGAAAGTAAATTAAGTGGAGTTATACACATTAACATTTAGAGGCAAAACATGATAAATAAGAATTGTGGAATACACACTTAAAACCTTTATATAGGGTAAAACATACTATATAAAACTGAACATTATGTTTAGGGAATGTACACAGTTGTAGTAGGCAGTCCTAGTGGCATAGTACCTAAGTATTGTGGTTGGTGACTGCTAATTAAGGTTGAGGGTTCAAATCCACCAGCTTGAGAGAGATGAGCAGTCTAATTCTGTAAAGATTTACAGTCTCAGAAGCATGACAGAGGGTTTATGAATTGCAATCAAATTGATGGCAGTAAGCTTGCTATGTTTAGTCCTTGTTATTTTAATATATATAATGAATACTAGAGAAAATTTAAGCTCTAAAGTTAAAAATGAAGAAGAGTAGTGTCTCATGGGGGAAGGGCAGAGACCATCAGGACAGGGAGGAAGCACTGAGGGACCATAAAATATTTCATGAGCTGACATGAGTGTGCCTTATTGTGCTTTAGTCCCTTCTGTAAAGTAATCCTAAATTTAAAAGAATAAGGAAATGTCAGTCTGACAACAAACTTCCTTGGGAACAGATGAATGAAACCTTGCCTGCCCTGCCCTGGGGGTCCCCTTGGTCCCTCTGATGTTGTGTACATTTGCCCTTACTCTGAATCCATGGAACCAATGACCTCTCCTCCAGAGTGTCCTCCTCACAGCCACCCTCACATGCTAAGCACACAGCTTCTACAGAACTGGAAAGGCTTCAAAGCTTTTATTGCATTAACGAAAGTGAGGGAGACCTGATGGCACAGTGTGGTATGTATTGGGCTGCTAACCAGAAGGTAAGAGGTTTGAGTTCACCAGTCTTTCTTTGGGAGGAAGATGGGCAGTTTCCATAAAGATTTTAAGTCTCAAAAACCTGACAGTCAGAATCCACACAGTGGCAGTAGGTTTTGGGTTTGGTAGCAGTGGGTTTATGTTTTTTAAAATAAGGTTACATAGGAATCGTATGCATCATTGCAAGTGACCTCTCAATCTTCTTTTCAGACAGTGAGGAATGGAGCTCATTCTAACCCAGGACAGCTTGTGTAGTCATTGTGTACAGGATATAGTATACTGGCTTCTCATTCCAAAGGCAGCTGCAGTGAAGTGCTTGTGCTGGACAGACCCCTGATGAAGTGCTCATATGCAAAAGCACCAGTGGATTATATCCCCTTCAAAGTAAAGTTATAGTATTTATATTTTGTCTTTAAATCTCTCTTTATATTTTGTGGACATCAGCACATTCTGCTTGGGCAAAGGCTATTAGGACCTGGGTCCTCCCTGTTCTGCCTACTGCTTCCCACCTCGCGATACTGGTGCAGCATATACTACATTGTAATACTGAATACTGAATGCTGGCTCTCTGGAGTGAGTCAATAGTGGTGCCTGCATTTCCTCCTGACACTGTTGCAGGGCCTCTCCAGGAAACTGTCCATGGTGAGGCCTGCTGTCAAGGCTTCCAGCATATTCTTCTGTTGAGTAATCTTTGGAGGAGGAACACATATCTATCCCAGTGCCTGACTCCAGGGGAAGAAAACAAATACCAATCAGGCTTTGTGTGCAATTAGACAGGAGACAAACCCCCTGGTGGTCTTCCTGGTACCAGATCCCTCCTCCTCCCAGCTCAGCTTGTGCCATGACCTTCCTGCAGCCCACAGTGAGAGGACCTGATGGGCAGTCTTGTCCCTGGTACATATGATGCTTCAGGCTTGACTCCGTCTACTTGTCACATCTTTGCAGGAACTGGAAGCCCTGGGTGGGCTCTCCAGCTCTATTCAACTTTATTCCAGCTTTATTCCAACTTTCTGGATCCCACAGTGAGTAAGAAGTGTCAGCTGAGTGTCTGCAGATCTGAAAGAGACCAAAAGTATCAGGACTTGCCACTCACCCCAGCCTCCAGCCTGTCTCCCTTAAACAGGTCCCTGCCTCTTTTGTCTTTTCAGCTAGTCTGTCACTTCTAAATATAGAGAATGACTGTTTCTTGGATACATTCATCTTACACAATTCTTCCCTCTCCTTCTGTGTCTTTTGGCCTTCCTAAACCAGGGTTCCACTTGGCACCCTCCATTGATACCTCCAACTCAATGAGGAAAACCTAATACTGTAAATACTAATAAATAACAACAATAATAAGTAATTAGTAATACTAGTAAATATATTTCTAATACTGATAAATCTATAGCAATACAAATGAGTCATTGAAATGAGCAGAGCTCTGGTGGTGTCTGTAGGGAGCTGTGCCTGTAATGCCAATGCTGGACCTCTGATGGTTCAAATTCACCCATAGCTCCATGGAAGACAGGTGAGAATCTCCTCCCATGTAATTTGTGTTCTTTTATTTGTTTGGGGGTTGTTGTGTTTTTCCTTCCTCCATTGGGATTTACCATCTCAGAAACCCACTGGAAGGGCAGCTTCTGACTCACAGTCTGAATCACAGTTCTGACTCCACGCAATGAGAGAGAAAGAATAAACAACGTGCTAGAGCTCATCATATTAGTTCTAACTCCTGGTGAGCTCATGTGTGTCAGAGCAGAGCTGTAGGCCTTTCAATGTCTGTGACCTTTCAATCTGGTTGCTAGCACTTCTGCTGAGGTTCTTCTGGGTGCGTTCTACTGGCAACTTTTCAAGTAATTGTCAGGCACTTAGACACTTGTATTGGCGAGGGACTCTAATAGGTTAGAGGCCAGGCCATGTCCTGACATTTATTTAGGATACTTATGTAATTATTTAGGATATATACCAGTATTCTCATTTTACAAACAAGGAAACTAGACACACAGAGGGGTTAAGAACCAGCCCAAGCAACTTCTCACAAGTTAGTAAGTGAAGGATCCAAGATACAAATGCAAACGATCTTTCCCGGGCCTATACCTGGCTGTCTCCCAAGAGCTGATGCACTCACAGACCCTGGCTCACCTCCTTCTCCTGCCCTGTCCTCTCATGGCTTACAGATGGACACTCTCCTCCTGGTTCAGTGTCTCTGAAAACCCACTGGAGGGTCAGCATGGGTTGGTTCCTACTTTACATAAACAACATTATCAACATCATCATATCATCATCATGGTTTATGGAACTCTGGTGGCCTAGTACTCAGGAGCTGAACAGCTCACCCAAAGGCACAAAGTTTGACTCCACTAGAAGAAGGATGGGAAGTCTCCTCCTATGTGAGTTACTGCTTCTGAAAACCCATTGGGGGTCAGCTATGCATCTGTTCTGGCTTGCAGTACCCAACTCCAAAGCTCCACAGCTTACAACGTATGACAGCATTCTTGACCTGGCGAAAGCCACCATCCGGACCCTGGCTGTCCACATAGTACATGAAACGGAGCTCAGGGGGGTAGGAGGCCCGTGTCAGGCCCAAGAGCAGTGGGATCGTGCAGCCCTCTGCAGTCGGAGCCTCACTTAGGGCCTGTAGCATCTGGTACTTGCACCAGGGGTCCTGCAGGAAGCCGGGGGTGATGAGCAGCACACGGCAGTGGCTGCTGGTCAGCGCCTGGCACAGCTCGGACACGATGGCGCCACCGGGGGCCGCATCTCGAAGCTGCAGGAAGCAACGCAGACTGGCAGCGCTACCCTCCAGGTAGGATACCAGGTCTTGGGCAGCTGCTAGGTCCTCCTCACTGTGGCACACACATACGTCATAGTCTTTGCTCCAGCGGCTGCTGCTGGTGTCCATGGCTGTTTGTAAGGAGGTGGGAGACTGGACTGAGTGGAGGCTCGGGGACTGGGAGCTACCCTGTGAGGTGGGCTGAGCCACGTCACTGGGAGTGCCATCTGCAGAGATGGGCAGCTTCTTGGGTTTCTTCAGCAGAGCCTGTCTGAACCACTCTGTGGAGAAACAGACAGTGCAGGCCTATTTTCACTAACTGGGCAGAGTGGAGCATGGGCTCCTCCACCCCAGAGACAACACACTAGCTCAGAGACTTACTGCTCACTTTTGGCTATTTGTCAGGACTTGTCTGAAAGCTCCCTCTATCTCTAACAGCCCCAGGAATCCATGAAAATTCTGGAATTTGACATGCAAGTGTCCAATCAGTGTGACTGTAAAGGCTGGCCTTGCTTTCTAGAACCCTGTGACCAGAACTTCCCACTAGACCTAAATGCCCACCCACTATGGGCTATGGAAGCAGAGCTATATTATAGCAATGAGGTAAAAAGCCCATGTGCAGCATGGGAGCTAGGAGAATTTCTAAAGGATGGATTATCCACTATGCAAAGGTAAGAGAAGCCACTGGCATCTAGTGGGCACTGAGAAGTTCTAGACTAGAGGAAAATCAGTAAACAAAAGCATGGTAGCGGCTCCCATCAGAGCTCCTGACAAGCACCAGGTTAGTGGACAGAACCCACACTCCAATCTGACACACAGATGTGACTGCAGAGCTGCCACCAACTTTGTGGTTGAGAGCTGATACAAGTTAGTCTCTGTCTTTGGATGTAAAATGGATTCACCTCCATGGAGATAATGCAGTATCTGCTACACTCCAGGTATTCCATGTGGTATTAGTTCAGCTTCCTGAGCTTTTGACAGAAACAGATGGTTTGATGTTCTAGAGGTGGGGTGGTTTCTTTCTCTTCTACTCTGCTTCCACTAAGTGGTTCTGGCAAAGATTTATCAGAAACCTAATGCTGACCACTCAGTCAATGGATTCCAGGCTGGGGATTAGTTGGGACAGGCCTAGAAAGTCTGTGAGCCATGAGGATTCCTGAGTCTGTGGATGCATGCCTCCTTCCTCACCTTCTCCAGAACATCTGGATTTGGGAGTCAAGTAAGAGCACTGTGGTCACCTGCACCTGTCTCATGACTGGATCAGGGAGACCTCTTGCCTCACCACTGCAGACACTGAACACTCCACCAAGGGATAGGAACAGAAGAAGGGATCTGGTTCTACTCACCAGCCATCCTGCCCATGCGCTTTTTGGATTGGGGACAAGGAGTTGGCAGGGAGGGTGATGATGCCATAGTTGGGATCCAAAGCTAACCCTATGAGGTTAGGCATTGGTAAATCAGGAGATTAAAGCAGATCCAGTCTTGAGCTCATGCAGCAGCCATCCTACAATGGACAGAGAGAATCACAAGATCTTAGTCTCAGTGAACTAAAGCTCCTGGGGGATTCTACCTCAGTCCTTTCACCTGCCAGGGGCTCAGTGTCTAAATGAGTCCCTCACTGGGTGAGGCACAGATACTACTGAAATTGTAATTGCAATACTTAAGGATGCTGCTGGCAGAATTATTAAATGATCCAGGAAACAGTAGTCTGACAAAGAAGAATTTCATGAAACAACGTATAAACAAGAGCCTGTGGTGATAAAGAAAGTTCAAGCTGCTCTGAAAGAATTAGCAAAAAACAAGGCCTCAGGATTTGATGGCATACCGACTGACATATTTCAACAAACAGATGCTGCCCTGAATGCGCTCACCACGTTGTGCCAAGAAATCTGAAGGACAACCACTTGGTCAACTGACTGGAACAGATCTGTATTTGTTCCCATTCTAAAAAAGGTGACCTGATAAAGTGCAGAAATGATAAAATAATATCATTCATATCATATGCAAGCAAGATTCCACTGAAAATTATGCAAAAATGACTAGAATAGCAAATCAACAGAGAACTGCCAGATGTTCAGGCCGGGTTTAGAAGAGGCCGTGGTATTAAGGATATTATAATTAATGTTAGATGGATCTTGGCTGAAAGCAGAAAGTACCTGAGGAATATCTATCTGTTTTTCATTGACTGTACAAAGGCATTTGACTGTATGGATCACAACAAACTGTGGCTAACTCTGAGGGGAATAATGGGAATTCCAGAACACTTGATTATACTTATGTAAAACAGTCAGGATGGGTGTATGCCAGGGATGAGTTCTAGCTCCAAATATTTTCAATCAATATGCAGAACTGGGCTCTGTGAGGAGGAACGTGGCATCAGGATTGGAGGAAGATTTATCCACAACCTACGTTATGCAGATAACATAAAACCTTGCTGTTGAAACTCAGGAGGGCCTGAAGCATTTACTGCAGAAGGGTAAGGACTGCAGCCTTCAATACATTTGGAAGCTCAACATCAAGAAGACAAAGATTCTCACCGCTAGACCAATTGGTAGCACCATGATTGAGAAGAGATTGAGGCTGTTAACAGTTACAGCTTGCTCAGCTCCACAATCAACACTTTTGACACAGCAGACAGGAAATCAAAAGGTGAATTGCATTAGGTAAATCTGCTGTCAGGGACCTTTCCAGAGTACTGAGAAGCAACAGTATCAGTCTGGAGACTAAGGTGTGCCTGATTCACTTGATCAATTACTTGCTATGCATCAGAGAGCTGGATAATGACTAAGGAGGATATGAGAATTGATGCCTTTGAGTTTGTGGTGCTGGAGAAGAGACTTGAACGTATCATGGACCACCAAGAAAACAAATAGCTCTGTCTTGGAGAGGGTGAACCAAGTGTCTCCTTGGAGACTAGGATTTTGAAGCTCTGTCTCACATACTTTGGGCACGTGGCCAGGAGGGACCAATCCCTGGAGAAGGATATCATGCTTGTAAGGTTGGAGGGACAGCTCAGCAAAGGAAGACTCTGGATGAAGTGGATTGATGCAGTGACTGGAGCAGTGGGGGTTGGTGTGTCAGAATTAGTGTGACTGGCTCAGGGCAGGGCCAAGTTCAGAGCTGCTGTACACAGGGTCGCTATGGGTCACAGATGACTCGATAGCACATAACAACAACAGTCTCAACAACAATAAATAAATTACTGGGGGCAGGGCAGAGGGCTGGGCGGGGAGAGAAGTGCAGCAATGAATGAATGGAAATCCAAAATCTCTGTAAATGTTCATTAAAATTATTAAAAATAATATTAAAATAAAATTTAAAAATAAATTACTTTGAAAGTTACACGAAATAAGTTAAGGAAAGTGCTAATGGGGTTTGGCATATAATATATGCTTAGAAAATTTAGTAAGAATATGTATTAATAACCTAGCTATTCAAAGAAACTATCACTGAAACTAACTCTCTGCAGTTAAGCAGGAATCAGTTCACAGCTGACCCTTAAGCAGGTTTTCCAAGGTTGTAAGTTATAAAGGAAGAGATTGCTTATTTTTTTCCTGTTGAATTCAAACTGCTAATGAGGGGCCACATTTGAGTAAACAGAACAGCTCTCTATAGACTGCATTACCACCAAAGAGCTCTGGAAGAAATGTATTATGTCCAAGGACTGCTATAGTTGTTAGAGGTCAAGTTGAGTATGACTCATAGCAATTCTATGAGCAACAAATCTGAACCTTGTTCTTTCCTGTGCCATCTTCATGATCTCTACATATTAGGACCCATTGTTACAGTCACTGAGACACTTTCCAGCATATTGTCTTTTTCCAAGGTCCGGCCCCTCCTGACAACTTACCTGTGGTTTTAGCCTAAATGCTGGGTGGGTTTTTTGTGTGTGTGTGTGTGCCTGCCTGCATTATTCACCATTACAAGAACATGGAAACAATAATGTACACTGCACTGAAACAGATGACAGAACTTTTTAAAAGGAATATATGATTAGGTATTATACACATGACAATAGTCCAGAATAAGAGGTGCATAGCAAAGTGGACTGGGGGAGGTGAGAAAATTGTGCAACAATGAAATAATTTTTTTAAATAGAAAAGTGAACTGGGGAAGGGTAGGGAAGAAAATGTGTAACAATGAATGTATGGAAATCCAAGTTTTCAGTAAACTTTCATTAAAATCTCAAAAAAAAAAAAAAAAGAAGAACATGGATACAGTTCAAATGTCCAACCACAAACAAATGGATTGAGAAATTAAGGTACATTCACACAAATGGAATACTACACAGCACACAGGAGCCATGATTTTGTAAATCACTACCTAACTAGGGAGGGACTGGAGAGTATTATGCTAAGTGAACTAACTTAGTCCCATAAGGACAAATACTGTATAAGACCATTATTGTAGAATATATATGAGTATCCAAGGAGGGTAGCAGAGGGGTAAGAATGGGCTGGGAAGCGATGGAAGTATTTAACCATAGGGTGGCACAATGTGGTGGGCAGAGGGCAGGGTGGGTAAAGGAAATGGGAAAGATCTGGCATGAAAAACAATGTATATGAACTTTGTAAGTCAACTAGTATAAACTAAAACAAAACTTTAATTTTTTTTAATTTAAAAATAAATAAAAGTCAGCTTTTTTAAACCATTAGTCAGCCCTCTCGTCTCTAGAAACATTAACTGCAGACATGGTCTTGCTAATGATAAACAGCTGAAGTAGCTTTTCACACTAGGCAGCAAGACTTGAGGCCAAAACAACTTGACGTAAGTCTTGAGGTGAGCAAAGCCTGTGGTAGTGAGACCCTCATCTGAGAGAGACCCTGGGTGGTGGAGAGACTAGCATTGCTGTTCAGAACTATGGCAAGGTGTGACCTGAGGCTTCTTGTATTTTTGCTGGCTACAGTTGGATTTTCCCTTGATAATGGAAGGAAAAGCTGCTTGCTGAATTAAAACTGGAGCCTGGACTGAGAAGCTGTGCCTTGAAACAGCTGGATTAAACCTGTACTTACTTTGGGTCATATTTTTTGCCTCCCCCTACACTCCTACTTCCTTCCCTAATGAACCCCATTGTCGGTAACACAACTGTGAGTCAGCAAGGAATAAGCAAACCTCTTGCTGCCACTGGGGCCCTATAGGCACAATGGAGCTGGGCTACAAACTCCTTTTCTGCTTTCTGCTCTGGGGCAGTGAGGCTGTGTGTTATTCTCACTCTCTTTGGCCCTTTCAGAGAGACGTTCATGGTCCTGTGCCCCATGACCTGTTTTCTCTTCTTTAGACATTGCCCAAGGTATGTGACATCAGTTTTGCCATCCTGCCTCTAAGGAGCAATGTGGCTGTACTTTCTGCAAGACAAAACAGATAAGGGTGTTTGCGGGTTGTTGGTTTTTTGTTGTTGTTGTTGTTGTTTTTAAAAAACAGCATATAAGCGCGAGGGCGACGCAGCGCGAGGGCGACGCAGC